CCCGAAGGTCCCAGTCGCTGAAGCTTGCCGTCGCGCGTGAGAGCGCGTGTGAAGTCAGTTTTTCGGTCGGTCAACGCCGTTGACTTCGCCGTGACGTCAGCTTTCTGGATTGGTCAAGTTTGTTCGATTCCGAGAAGATTTGATTTGCGGTAAACTGTCCGGGCCAGCCAGATCTACAGCAGTAAGTTTTCTTCATCAAACCTTTAGATCCGCTGCGCATAGGTTTATGTTGAATGTTTGTCCGTGATTTGTGCATATCGAGATCCTCGTGGGTTCCAACAACAACAACATGTTCCCAATAGCTTAGGCAGTTGTAGAAGCTGCGACCAAAGATTCATGGCTTTGGTTTTTATCTCTGTTGGGGGATTATATTGGCATAAGTGAGGCTGAGATCTGGACCTTCATGAGTGATAAACAGAAGGGATTAATACCAGCTTTTGAGAGTTTGTTCCCAGAGGCAGAAAACAGATTTTGTGTTCAGCACCTTCATAGCAACATGAAGAAGGATGGTTTTTTAGGTTTGGAAATAAAGAAGGAACTATGGGCTGCTGCAAGATGTACTAGGGTGGAAGAGTTCAAAGCAAGAATGGATAAGTTAAAGTCTGTTGATCCTAAGGCTTATGAGTGGCTAGTGAAGAAGCCTCTAAATCAGTGGTCGAGATCTCACTTTAGTTTAACACCTAAATGTGATATCTTGACCAATAACATGTGTGAGAGCTTCAATTCACTTATTCTATCTTGTAGAGAAAAAAACATCATAGGGCTGCTTGATACAGTGAGAAACATCATGATGGCAAGGATGCATACCAACAGGGAGCAAGCCAAGAAATGGGGTGGTGCTATCTGTCCTAGGATAAAAATGATTTTGGATGGGAACATGAAGAATGCAGGAGAACTCATTCTTATGAGGTCTGATGAGTGGAATTTTCAAATCATGGGGCCTTTTTAACAGCACACTGTTGGTGTTCTTGGAAGATCTTGTTCTTGTAGGAAATGGGAATTGACTGGGCTCCCATGTAAGCATACTATTTCTGCCATTTGGTGTAGAAAAGAAGAACCAGGGTGGAATGTTCATCAGTTGTACATTGTTGAAACATATAGAAAGGCATATGAATTGCCAATATTAAGGATAAATGGTCCTGATTTGTGGCCTAATGTTGATCTTCCCCCACCTATCCCTCCTGTAATTGTGAAGAGACCTTGAAGACCTAAGAAGGCAAGGAGGAGAAATCCAACTGAGCCACCAAGTGCATTGCCTCATAATCCCCTAAGATTGAAAAAGCATCAGAAGAGTGTGACATGTAGAATTTGTGGAGAACATGGTCACAATGCTAGATCATAAAAAGGCTGACCAAAATGAAGAACAAGAGGAGATCCCAGTGAGTGAATCTCAGCCTCCACCAGCTAGCGACCATGTTTTCTCAAGTCAGTCACTTGCACCAACACCTCCAAACAGCAACAATGATGTTGAAGCTAGCAAAAATAGGGTAATTTAACCTTTTTATTTCCTTTTTTAGTTATACCTCATCCTCGTTTACTATGTCTTTTACTTTGTGTTTTGATTTAAACTTGTCATATATTTATTTTGTCTATTTTTATAGTCTCAGGAAAAGAGAAGAACAACATGGAAGAGAAAAAGAAGTCAGTTGGATGGAAATGGGAATGAGGGTCAAGGACAGACTGTCAAAGTGAGTTATTGTGGTATAGAAGTGTGAATATTATTTCAGTTGGATTGGAGTTTGAGTTCTTTGTGCAGAATAATTCCTTAATCACTTGTACAAATGCAGGTCACTCAATCTGAGGGAGTCAGTTTTCCTGTTGTGGTGAAAGGAGGTGTGAATTACATAACAGTCTCCAACATCAGAGCTGCTTTGAGGCCAAGGAATGGGGCAGCTCTTGGTAAGGACAAGGTTGCAAACAAATAACTCTGGATTTGTGTTTGCTTATTATGAAATTATGTTGTTTGACTTTTTGGATTTATTTTGTTTTGATTGTGTTGTGATGGAATAATGATTTCTTTGATGATTCTGGCTTGACTGTGGATTTTTGTTTATGATGATGGATTGTGGTTTGAACAAGGATGTGGAATGTGTTTTTGTGGTGATTGATTTGGAATATGAGATAATGTGTTCTTTTGTCAAGATAATGTTGATTGAGTTGTTCATTGAGTTGATTGAGTTCAGACAGAGGATAATGTTGTTCATATGCATTTGGTTAAGTAATTTGTAATAGGATACATACGTTGGAAATGAAAATGATGATTTCATGACTTGGAAAATGTTGATTACATAAGTTGCATTTGCTAATTGCTATTTTTGCTACTTAGTACATAAAACACAATTACTACAAGTAGAAAAAAGACTCCTACTTTTACAATGGAATTTTTCTTTTCATTTTTCAATGCAGCTAGTTGTTTTTCCAGACTCCTATTCTTGCTATTGGCTTTCCTCAATTCAGCTTCCAATTTTCTTCTTTTATCATGAAGTCATTGAGCTGATCCTCAAGCTTGTTCAATTTTGAAAGCAGTCTGGGTATTATTTGTTTGGAACGAGCACACATTTCTGGATCCAACCACTTGTAAAATCCACAATATTCAGTTGTAAGAGAGAATAATTCAATCATTTTTTTTATGAATATGATAAAAAAATCCAAAATAATATCCCGTATTTTGGGCATGCCCAATATCTTCTTCCGGGATTGGTTTTTGTCCATGATGTCTTCAATGGGAGCTTTTCACCATAAATACACCAACATTTTTTGACAGGAATGTTATTATTCCAAGAAAAAGTACTGCTTGTAGAATTACTTCTCGTTTTTCTTTATTTTTTTGATTTTTTTTTTTCAAATTTTACCTATTTTCTGTTGAAATCTGCGATTTGTTTATGGTAAAATATGACAGCAGAAGGCTTAGGGCAAGGTGCAAGACTGATAGCTGTGAATGGAAAGCATATGTTGCTCCAATGCAACATGGCAGTACTTGGCAAGTTAAGGTGTATGGCTACATAAGCCCTATATATATATATATATATATATATATATATACTACACCAGGCGCGCAAAAAAAACCATTTCCCTCCATTTTCACAACTAACGGTGACAACTAACAGGCTTTTGACGGACAACTAACGGTCGAGTACTAAAGTCGCTAACGGAGTAAAAATTTGGGTATTGATTTTGCAAATATTAAAAAATAGTACTGATTCTGAAATGAACTTTAGTTTGGGTACTAAAAGTGCAATTTGCCCTAAAATATATTTAATAATTTGGGGTGTAAATTCCTCAAAAATAAAAGGTTACTGGAAAAAGTGCATTTATTCTATTATTGGGCCTCTTTGGTTTTTTTTCTGGACAGAAAGACATTTTATTGGTGGGAATAGGGTGGACCTTATTGTCTTATTAACCTATTGATTATAACTTATAAGCCCACAGTAATTTAAATTTATTCTAACCTATT